AGCCTTGAAAGTCATGTTGTCGAGCATACTGATATTAACAAATTTGAAAGCCTACTTGACTTTTAAACTTTTCTGTCTTGTTGATCACTTGATACGCGTTCTGGTTCTCTGTGTATATTGCACTCGCCGGACAATAATGTGTACTCTTCTTTTTGCAGTGTGTGTTGTTGCAATGCATGTATCGGTTTCTTCTTTTCTTTTTTGTGCCCTTCGCAAGATCTTATTCACGCGCCACTGTGAATTGGCAATCAGTTCAATCAGTTTTTTTTTTATGTATGTTATGCGTTCGTTTTGTCTGTTTTATTGTGAAATGTAGCACACGTTTCTTTCCACCCTGCTACGACCCCTTAACTGGGGTCAGCAGTATTGTAAATAAATAAATAAATAAAGCGTTTTCGCGTTCCTGTCCAAAGAACCTAGTAGTGAGCAAAGCCAAAGGTCTGACCAGTGCTTTCGTGGCAGCCAGCTGCGCTACCCCGTTCGTTCACGTGTGTGTCAGAGGACGACATACACGAGTTGCTTTGATGGAAATAGCATTTGCTAGTTGTTTTCATGACGTGAAATTTCGGCAGTATTTGCGCTCCTCCTTTCAGACTCTCACCTTAGTGGGAAAACCTACCTCGTGTGGTCGGCCTTTCGAAGCCTGCAAAAGCCGATTTTGGCGCTTGTGATAGGGACACCCCCCCCCCCTTTTCTCTTGTTTTTGCGCAATGTTTTTTCCTTCTTTTGGTGCCAAAAAAATGGAAGATAATCTAGCGCATCGACCCCCCCCTCCCCCCCACTCCCACCTTCGTTTGCGGAAATCTCCTTGATTCAGAATTCTTGAACTTCGCAGGTATGTTTGTGCAACTGCGGTCTTTGAAAAAGCCATTATGATTATAGTGTGGCACCCTTATAGTGCAGATATTCGCAACTCCTGTGAGTTATGCTATAAGCAGTCTATGCATTATTTTTTGACCTGAGCTTATCACTGGCGAATATTGTGAATGAAGGTGTGCCTTCGTGCGTTGTGTTATAGGGGATGGCAGCATGCACAGTGATTGCTCATTACATGTGCGACATGCTTGAAAAAAGTATGAATTTACTACAGAGAAATGTATCCTTGAAGAAATAATTGCTGGGCTTGTTGGTTGTTCATAACTGATTGAGCGCAAATAAAAACCGACACATATTGGAAATGTTGGAAATAAAATAAATACTAAAATTTTGGGTGCAAGGGAGGATCAAACCCAAGCTATCTGCGTGGCAAGCAGTTGTTCCAGCACAGAGCCACAATATTTGCTGTATCTGCCTTTGAAAAAGAAAGAAAGATGTACTATATGAATGTCATGTAGGGGGAGGAGTCTCCTTACTGCTTTATGTTGTTACGTCTACGAGAGGGGTTTATTCAGAGGCGACGTTACGGTCGAATCGAAGGTATATAGTTACCGTGCACCAGGGACCTCTTGCCAAAAGTTGAACGTCCTCTTCTTCTGCCACCACCCTGTTCCCCGCTACACAGATGCACATACCTAAATTACATACGTGGTAACATTTCCCTCCGCGCAGATGAAGCCCACCGGGCGAGTCAAACATTCTCTTGAGGAATAAGGTGCTTCAAACGCCCAACATGGGCAAGTTCAGTTTGAGCAGACTGTCGGCCGTTCGAATGGAGACGCGCTACGTGGTAAACTAAATCACTGATATGGTCTATAAGTAGATAAGGTCCCGCATAGTGCGCTAGCAGTTGCTCGCTCAAACCGCATTTTCTAGTTGGTGTCCACAGCAACACTAGGTCGCCGCGATTGTACGTCACGCATCGACGTCGGTGGTCAAAATGTGCCTTCGAGCGGTCTTGCGAAGCAAGAGTGCGCAAATAAGCAAGGTGTCTGGCTTCTTCTGCCCGACAGATGATCTCGGATATGCAGGGATCATGGTGGTCCATACACGGGAAGATGGTACTCAGGGTATGAGGAGGCGGTCGAGCAAATAGAAGAAAGAAAGGACTGTAGCCGGTAGTTTCATGCTGTGCAGTGTTGAATGCATAAGTGATAAAAGGTAGAATACTGTCCCAGTCCTTGTGATCTGATGTGACATACATAGACGGCATGTTTGTGAGAGTTCTGTTTATTCGTTCAGTTAGACCGTTCGCTTGGGGATGATATGGTGTAGAGTGCCGAAACCTTGAAGAGCAGACACGAAGCATTTTTTTTCCACTATGTCTGCTGTGAATTGTCGGCCACGGTCACTGATTACAATTTTGAGAGGTCCATGTCGTAGAATTACGAAGCGTAGCATGAAGAAAGACACATCAGCTGCAGTTGCCGATGGTATGGCAGCTGTCTCGCAGTTCGTGTTAAATGGTCGGTGCAGACGACTCTCCAGAGATTTCCATGGGAAGACCGGAGAAAGGGCCCAAGAAGGTCAATGCCGACTTGCTCGTATGGAGTTTTAGGGGGCGGCACCAGGTGTAATCGCCCTAGAGGAGCACTTGCTGGGTGCTTATGACATTGACACTCGTTACAACCAGACATGTATTGTTCCGTCGTCTGGCTCATCTTGGGCCAGTAGAATCTTTCTTGAAGATTGCAAAGAGTTTTCGCTGTGTCTAGATGACTGGATGTTGGGTTATCATGCATAGCCTGCAAGACATAAACGTGAAGACTCTTCGGAACCATCAGAAGATCGTGAGCCGGTGCTGGTGTAGTTCTCTTTGTAAACTAGCCCGTCTTGGATGAAGAAGCGCGTAGGCGATGATTTTGGTTTGGTAGCAAGAAGTTGCTGTATGGTGCTGTCCCTTTGTTGCTCAGCCTTGCACGTCTTGGTATCGGGAAATGGTTGATCCAGTGATGCGATGTAGGTGTCGGAAGTTGTCCGCGTCACATTCCGTGTTGGAAGTGGTAGTCGCGAAAGACAATCTGCTTCAGCGTGGCGTCCGCTGATTTTATAGGAAACCGTGAAGTCATATTCTTGTAGACGAAGTGCCCAGAGCACGAGCCGACCAGACGGGTCACGCAGATTGACCAACCAGCGAAGAGAATCATGGTCGGTCACACATACCGACAGTGGCAAAGGAGCTAATGGTGCAGCCGTGTAGTAGGATGGACTGATAGACGGATGAGGAATGGTTTCTTCAACACAACCACCTTGTCGCTGCAGTTCTTCACGCACTATTGCCCGAATAGTAACGGCAAGGTCGGTGAGCGGGCTCGGTGGCGACCGTGGATTTCGGGGCAGTGTGCCGGGTCTTCAGTTTTTCAAATGTGCGGCAGTGATGTTGGACGTCGGCAACAGAGGTGAGGTCATTTCTGTCTATCAGAAAAGTATAAACGTCTTCCGCAATGCCTTTTAGGAGGTGTCCGACCCTGTCTTCTTGTGACACCTGCGGGCTTATAATCTTGCAAAGCTTAAGAACGTCCTCTATATAAGCAGTGCACATTTCTCCAGGAGTCTGAGCTCTTCCAGTAAGAGTCCGCTCCGCGCTTTTCCTTTTTTGAATCAGAGTCGCCAAAACACTTCTTCATTTCTTCAGCAAGAAGAGCCCATGTTGTCAAGGACTCTTCGTGGTTTTGATACCACACCAGGGCAGTGTCCGTGAGAAACAGCACGATGTTATCCAGTTGATCGATAGAGTTCCAGTGGTTGTACCGGCTCACCCTTTTGTAGTGCGTTAGCCATGCGTCCACATCTTCTCCTGCCATTCCTGCGAACGGGCGAGGTTCCATGTAGTGATGCCTAGGTGTAGCCAGTGTAGACCTGCGCGTAGTTAAGGCGGTTGATTCCTGATCTTCGCTCTGGGCCATGACGACTGTTGTCGGTGGCAGACCGGCAATACGACGGCTCCGGCGAACTCCGAGCAGCTGTGGCTCCGTGGTAGGTCGAGGCGCCCTACCCAGCACCTCCACCACTCTGTTACGTCTACGAGAGGGGTTTATTCAGAGGCGACATAATGGTCAACTCGAAGGTATATAGCGAACGCGCACCAGAGACCTCTTGCCAAAAGCCGAACGTCCTCTTCTTCTGCCACCACCCTGCTCCCCGCTACACAAGTGCACATACCTAATTACAAATGTGGTAACAATATATTTCATGGCAGAAGCATAGAATCATGCCAGGTGTCAAAATATGGGAACTGAGCTAAGAGGGGGTGTTTTAAAGGCCCACCCATTACCCACCCATTACCCACCCATAATCATTATTAGCATCAGAACCATCAAACGATGTGAGTAGCTGTATGCGTGTTGCTCTATGGACGCGTCGTAGGCCCTTCTCTTATTCACAGAAAGAATAATGGGCATTCAATGATAGTTTGAAACGGCCAATTTCATGGACAGCATGGCATGCCCCGAGAGCTGAAGCAGGCTAGCAGTTGTGTGTTGATTACAGGCGCGCAGGGAGGATGTTCGAGGTCATCGCCAAAGAGGCAATGAAGGCATAAGCGCCCTGTCGCTGTTTTTAAAAAAAAAAAGCTCGTGACCAAAAGCTTTTTTTTTATTGTACTGTAAAAAAACCAGTTGGCAGTTAGTGCCTGTCCTTGTGTCACTTTCCTTCGTCCCATTGTTGCGCTGTTTTTAAGTTTACAGTTATGTACTTTATCGAGCTCATTGCAATAGCCACACATTGTCATATTAAGGGTGATGCACTTATTTTAAAGGAGAAAATTGACCACACGTTATCGTTGCTGCGGTGTCCAGCTCTGGTGGCATGACGTCATGAAGCTGCTACCAGTCTTAGGCTGCAGAGGGATTCTCGGTGCTGCCTGACTCATGTGAGGCATGTTTTAGCCAAGATATGGTTATTCACTCTAGTTTTTTCAAGTTGTCTAAGTGTTCTTTGAGCTTGCCCTACGTGGTTGCTGCATGGCTCGGTGGTCACAACGTTCTATTTGAATGTGGCCAAAATGTCGCAACAATATTACATAATGTGACACCACAACTTCCTTTTCAGTGAAAAGTGCTAGATTTTTCCTTTGAGAGGCCCATTGGAGTGTTTCTTAAGGCCTACTTGTTTGCTTGCTGCAGACAATGAGCTGGCCAAGCGAGGAGCAGCAAATGCAAGGGCTGCATCGCACTGGATGCGCTTTGAGAATTTCGACCTCCACCAAGTGTTGAAACACGGTGGTGACCTCCTTGCATCCGAGGGTACCGAGTTTGATCTCGAGGATGGACTACTAGGTAAGTGCTTCTGCTCTCCCAGTCATGTGATAGCATCCAGATCTGTAACGTGCGACGAGCACAGTGAGCATAGACTTGAGCCCTCTACGTGCCACTGTACACCTTTAGAAATGAGTTTATGTATTAATAGTAAGTTATAACTTACACGAAGCAGCACACAAAGGGCTCAATTATGCACAAAAAAAATGACGCAGTTTTTATGTGTGTGTGATTAGATCCTTTGTGCACTCCTTTATCAAAACTGAGGGTTACCTGGTCTAAACACAGACAGCGAAGTTTTACTTGTCATTCACTGTGACAGCTGGCACATGCAAGCAATCATGCCTAAAGCAGCTATCTGGCATGACCTCCAGCTTGGATATTTCGTGTGCCCAATCTAGAGATCACACCAATGTTTTGTTTGCTATATTGTAGCTTGTATTGCTATTTGAGTGTACAGCACTAAAGGTCACATGCGCCGAGGGGTGGGCACGTTCCACATATATGCCCTTATTTTTTAATTTTGATGTGATTGATTTTTACTCGATAACTACCGTGTTTACTCGAATCTATGCCGACCCCAATTGTTAGCCGACCCCCCTTATGTCAGTAGCCCGGGAAAAAAAAAAAGAAAGATTACCTCGAGTGTAGGCCGTGTGGCAGCATTCACAGAGGAAAAAAAAAAACATTTATTGAAAATATGAAGATGAAATGAAGCAGTTGGTTCATCAAGATGCCGCGCTCATTCGTTCGTCATTCGAGTCGTCGTTGCTGATCTCTTTGTTGCTGTCCTCAAACAGTGGGCAACTCTTGGTGCCATCAAGCGCATTTGATATGTCGCTCTTCTTGAAAGAAGGTTATCAATCAAAGTTCCTAGGATGTCATTCCACGCTACAGCCACTCAGCCTGCCAACGGAGACTGTGATGCCCTCTTGATGCAGCCCGTCGGCATCAGCTGGTGGTCCTCAGTGCTTAACCAGTCTGTGTATGATCCCCGCAGGCTATCCTTAAATGGCTTGTTAATGCCAACATAAAGTGGCTGCAATTGGCCACTTCCATTCCACCTGGTGTCATGGCGAGGTCAGTGTCCGCGGTACGAGTTTAGCACAAAGAGAGAATGCCTGCACAGATGGGCACCTGGATGCCGCCGCCATACGGTGCCACTCCTCGACCTGGCGCGGGTCATCCAGCCATACTCGTTAACCCACTCAGTGATGTTTTGCTGGGAGGCGTCTGTGGCGGGCATCGCCTTTCTCTTAAAAGCAATATTCGCAACTCTCACGACTTATAGGTGGCGCGACTGTACATCCAACATGGCAGTTGTTGAGATGGTCGCCTAGAGTAATGCAAGGAGGTTTAAAAAAAACTTCTGGAGTGGAGGTCCCCTATTCACGCCTACGCAAGCGGGTGAAGCAGGGGAAACCAGTTGGCGGCCATCTTGCTCCAGGCAAGAGAGAGCGCAGACAACGTATCCAGCGCGCTTCCGTGGCGGCTTTTTCGAATGAAACGGGGCACTTAGTGTAATTAATTTCACTCGCATTTTTTTCTTCGTGTTAGATAAACAAGATCTGTACAAAGCCGTCAGTTACGATATTACACGTGAGCCGTACGCGATTACGTATTAGCGAATATGCATTACAACGGTTAGCTGCTGTAAGTGCGGATTCGCTTGCAATTCTCGAAATGAGGCTCACGGTGGAAGCAACACAGGGGTATATGAGTTTTTATTCATTCAAGGCTTTATACAATTTCCAAAAGCACATACAATAAAACAGAAACAATTCACACGAAAACGGCCTGATTCCCAAAACGCAGGTTATATCAGGCAACTCTATAACAACACACTAAAATTGCAAAAAATATAGAATATACCAGCTGCTCCGCTTTGTTCAACGCTGGTTCTCATCTGTACCTTACAGATTTTGAAATATAATAGTCCTTGTCAGCTGGGTTCGTACCCCACTGCGCGAGTTCTTGCGGTTGATTTCTTTGGAAATGTGGTGAAGCCTGATTGTTATATACAGGTTGGCAATCTTTCTCGCCAAAACGTAGATGTGATTGTCGAGTGGATCGCAGTCCAACAGATGAGGCTCTAACTCAGAAAATAATGCTTGTTCAAACACCTCCGTTAACACCTCTACCATGAGGCGATCACTGTTTGCATGCAACGATTTTAGGTCCTTACATTGAACCTGTAGGGCACGAAGCCCTTTCTCCACAGTGTGGCAGATCTTCAAGACGTCTTTCGATGGCGCCACCAGACCACCGTTTGTTTTCACAGCTGTTAGTGGTGGCAGCTCACTAGAGAGCAGTGCAGAGCAGCATTCATCGCAAGATGTGCCACCATAGACTTTCCGTGCCACAAATCCTGCTATATATGGCACTACTGCGCCGACAACAGGCGAAAGGCTTGCGGGGAAGTCCACTCGCTGGGTGCAATCGTTATCATCGTCGGGTGGCTGCAACAGTGATGATCGTCTTAATGACGCCAGAGACGTTGGTGACTCAACAAGGCTTACGTCGCTTGAGGGACAGAGAACAGTCACAATATCCCGAGAACAGTTTCCAGCCTCTGATGATGCGACCTCTGTTCTAATAAGAAGACGCTTGTAGGCAGCTGTAAACTGGCAGGCAGTGGGGTTGTTGTTATAGCCGCCCTTTCCTCTTACGCAACCAAAAAATGTTTCCAGGTGGTCTTGAGACATTTTGTGGGTGAGCATGTACTGCAGCTTCCCTGTTGCCACAAGCCTATCGTAGAGTGCTGTGACACTGCGTATACAGATCAGGAGTCCCACAAATCCGGTTTTCTTGAGGCTCTCGATCACTGGTTTTTCTTTTGCGTCCTTGAGTTTTGTTATGTACAATTCAGCCTTCTCAAAAAAGGTCCTCATGGACGCCTCATTTGCCTTTCGCAGAGCTGCGTTGTACGACCTGCCAAACCGGTTTCTTGAGTTGAGGACATCAAAAAGACGGTCAAACATTCGTATGAATTCAGCCGTAGCATGTGCGCCTTTGAATTGCGGAAGCTTTAACGTGGACTCGCAAAAGTCGAGTGCGTCTGCCACAGATGAACTGAGCGTTTGCACGGCAAGGCGAACTTTCATCTTTTGTTTTGCTCACTCAATATGCTCTTGTCAGCCTGTTCCCTAAGTGTAGTCCCTCATCCCGTTGCAACTTCTCGAGTTCTTCAATAAAGGACCACCTGACTTCTGATCCATTCAGGTCAACAAGGTGGTCTACAGACCCTAGGCAGTTTCGGATAAGCTTTAGCATGTGACATGCATCTAGAATTACAGACACCTTGTTTGGAGAATCTGTTTGTTCTGTTGAACTGTTAAAGCTTGTGTCAAATTTAGGGGAGCTGTACTTGAGATCAGCCCCTAGGCACCGAGCCATAGTGAAGTTCGAGGCGGCACCATCAAATGTTAATGATGCTACTTCAACATCTGTTGACGAGAGTCTCGACAGACATTCTTGTGTTAGTGCAGCTCTTTCAGATCCAGAAAGAGACTCGATGAAGAAATACCCCAGAGGTATTTTTAGTCGCATATTCATGCCGACCAGCATAAAAACGCAGACATTTGTCGCTTCGGGAGGGCTATCATCGGAGATACCTGTTCCAAGATCTATGTAGCCTACCGCTTTCTTCCCAACAAGCTGAACATGTTTTTTGATGGCCATGTCATCCATCATGAGTGCTGCGATCAGAGGCTTGTCCTGGCTTTTGGCTAAATTTTTAATAAAATCAAAAGCCTCAGAGGTAAAACCCGGATCGCCATTTACAGATTTGTACCACTCACGCAACGTACGTTGCGAAGGCAAAGCGTTGTTAAATTTCGACCGCACATACTCATATGCTGCCGCAGAGTAGTAGTGCAGAGTGAGTGCGAATGCACGTAGCTCTGGGGGGTACATCTTGTTTGTTTTTTCATGGGCTCGGACAAGAAGCTGTTGAATTTCAGGCGAGAAAGTTGCTTCAAAGACCTCAAGGCCTTTTTCTGACAAAAGTTTCCTCTCTTTTAGCTCCTTGATCAAATTTTCTGACGCATCACACTGCTTGCTTAGCCTTCTTTTGGATTGCTGCAGTGTCTTAACTTTCTTCTTTAGTTGGAGAACCTCTTGTGCAGACTCCTCTGCCTTGGAACGGTACCAATCCTTCGCCGGCGAAGAAGGCTCAGATGGCATTTCAACCACTGCCTCAGCACTGACGACAGGTGACAGCGCAGTCCGACACTTAGGGGCCTCTCGCTTTCTTTTCGCCTGCAAGAAAAAAAAAATCAGTTATGCTCCAAAGTTCAGAAGCCGGGTATAATGGTCCCACCCACTGCTTAGACTGACTAGAAACGGGATTACTACCTCGGGGATCTTTTTATAGTTTCGGTGCGGAAGTTTAGCGTGCCAGCGTGCCCGTATTTATGCACGCACAGTGAAAAAAAAAAAAAAGTTGGACAAGTAAGTGTACGTGACGTGCGCTTTGTCAGAGAGTGGTGTGATTTTGAATAGCACGTAGGAAACGAGAAACTGTGCCTACACATTTGGAAATCTATAGCCTATTTACCGTAACGAAAATGTACATTCGTGATGGTACTCACTGGTTTCTGGAGATGCGCAGGGAACGCAGGAAAAATGGTAGGAATGCTCCCTGGTCGCAGTCTGGTCGTTTGGCCCGTCCTGTCAAAGCAGTTGGCTTCAAAGTGCTCCGAGCAGAGAACGTCCGCATTCTTAGGCTCCCAGCCATCCCTCCGAACAGCACACTGCCATGCGTCACGCAGCGTCTTGTTTTTCGGAAACCTGCGGTATCACACGCACAAAATAGGTTATTCAACTTCTACTCGCCAGCTGAAAAATGCTAATGAAAGTAAGTTTTCAGCTGAAACCGCGCTTCTCGAATGAGGTAGCGCGCCGAAGGAGACAAGCGATTGAAAGCGCTTTTTCCCGCGTACTTACACGTGAAAAGTGATTCCTGGCTTCTGCTTCGCACGATTAGTGCAGCCGAAGGCGACACACGAGCTCACCATAAC